TACTGGGGACAAAGTTTCACTGCAAGATCCAGGCTGTTCTCTGCGGGTAATTTCTTCCAAATGGAGCAGCTGACAGAGAGAGAGAGAATGGGAAATGGGATTGAGAGCAAGCAGGCCCAAAGGCCAGGATCCCAAACACACAATGGAAATCCAGCAGGGTGGGAAAGCTGCTTTCTAGCATGGAGGAGACTGGAGCCATGAGGTTGGACATCCTCCAGCGGAAGGTCAAAGGAAAGACAGGGTGAGAATAAGTGACTTAAGAAGGCAAGTATACATTTATTAAATTTCCTTTTAAAACTTTTTATTTATGTATTTGGCTGCACTGGGTCTTCGCTGCAGCATGCGAGATCTTTAGTTGCAGCATGCAGGACCCAGTTTACTGACCAGGGATCGAACCCCAGCCCCCTGCATTGGGAGCACAGCACCTTAGCCACTGGACCAGCAGGGAAGTCCCATGAAAGCAAGCAGACTGATGCAGACGGCTAAGTAACAGAACGCATGCTAATGATAACTAACGCTGTTGTGCGTTTACTGAGTCTGGTATTGTACTCCTTCCCAGTCTCATTTTCCATAGATATTCCAGATTACTAGTGGGGGGAAAAAAAGAGGTAAAGGATGAACAGGCTGTCAACAGGAAGAGGTCAGTTTTTTGTTTCTTTCTTTTTTTTCTTTTGGCTGTGTGGCTTGTGGGATCTTTGTTTCCTGACCAGCGACTGAAGCTGGGCCCATGGCAGTGAAAGCGCAGAGTCCTGACCACTGGACCGCCAAGGACTCCCCTGGAAGAGGTCAGTTCAAGTCTAACGTTCATACTTTTCAGAGACCAATTTCAGAGACCTGTTGACGAAAATTAAGCAATAGTCTGTGAAAGAAATGGAAAATTTTCTTGGAGCCAAATTTGAGGATCATAACCTGGGAAGAGCATCTCAGGAAGCGCTGAGAACTGTTGCGCCTGTTAGAAGTCAAGCACAGCTATTTAAGTGTTTTTGAAACGGAGTACTGTACGTTCAATGACGTGTAACTGACAGTTGACACAATCCAGATCTAAGCGCTGTCGTGACCCCTTAGCAGATCAAGAAGGAATGTTATCTTTGAGGAGTGTCTTGTTGATGCTAGGAGAAAGTTGTTCTACGGTTGGGCAGGTATTCCTGCCTGTGGGGGAGGACTGTCAGTGCGTGAGGCAGACACGCAATGCACAGGGCGGGGGCGGGGGGGGGAAAGGGTAGAGAAGAATTCATATTTAAATTTCTATTGTCTTGCCATAAAATATGAATTTTATTTCTCAAACCCTGGTACACAGAAATGTTTTGCCCACAGTTTGCAGAAGAGAAAATTCATAGAATTCAACTAAGTTAATTAAGTTAAGTATTGATAACATACCCAAGGTTACACAGGAAGTGGAAAAGCCAATATTTGAACTCAGTGTCTGGCCCCAGAGTGCACTGTAACACACACAGCATGAATGGGCAGTTGGCATAAGACGTGTATGAAAACCCCCCTATCTCCCCTATAAAATCTTCAGTGAAGTCAGAATTGCTCCCCAGTACTTTTGGTGTGATGGTCTCTTTCTGGGGCCCAGGAAGAGAGATTATGTTGTTTTGCGATGGACTAGGAATGAAAACAAGGGTATGTAGGACATCAAGAGCCCAACAAGACTGGAACGGGGGGAAGAAAACATCTTCCTAAAGCCTCAAGCAGAGGTAGGCTAATCTCTCCACAATATCCTCTCCCGATGCAGCAAGGTCCTTGCATGCCCAGTCCAAGCCCAACCACAGCCTCGTAGAAAGAAGAGTCTGAACCCATTTCCCCATGTGCTCTGCAACACTCAGAACAGGCTGTCATGCTGCAGTAACAACAGTTCCCAACACACAATGACTTACAGCTGCAAAAGTTTATTTCTTGCATAAGTTACATGTTCACCATGGGTAGACTATATTTGGCTTCATGCCATCTTCTTTGGGATCTAGGCTGAGGAAGCAGCCTCTTTCTGAATCATTGTCCAGCTTGTGGAAGAAGGGAAAAGACTCACAGCAAATCATGCTGTGGCTCTTAAAGCTTTTGCCTAGACAGGACTCATGACTTTTGCTTACATTTGTTGTCAAGAACAAGTCACATTGTCAAGCCTGATGTTGGCGGTTAGGAGGGGAACAGCAGAGTATCATCTCTTTCAGGAAGGGCCCACAAATATTTTTGAATAATAGCACAACCCATGACAGTCTCAGAGCTTTAAACCCTTGAGGACAGACCAGAAATTTCACCCTTAGTACCATGACTCAATAAAGCGTCCTTGTCCCTGATCAGGATGCATCCTGGGAGGAGGAGGGAGGCACCTGGAAGAGAAGCAGGAGCGGGGAGGGGCCCCTGGAAGCCACCAGCACCGATCAGAGATGACAGGGAAAGGGACAGTGCAGCTTCAGCTGGTAAGTGACAAGGGTGAGGGCCCTTGGCAGGGAGAAGGGGAGGTCGCAGAGGGACCTTGTCCAGAAGGAGGGCCCAGTGGAGGAGAACCTGGCACTGCCCAGGGCTATTGTCTGGTTAGAAAATGGAGCAACTATTTTTCCATGACCCAGTTTTAATACTGTGAGTTTGCAAGAAAGCTGAGGGAGCCAAACTTTAATCTCTAAAGGAGCTTAATTTCTAAAAAAAAAAAGAGAGAGAGAGAGTGAGAGAAACACTTCTCTATAGATAAGTACAGTTCCAATGAAGTCAGAATATAAAAAGCAAGTCAGTGAGGAGAGCAGGTCAGGGTGACTGGCTCGGTCTTCTGAGTTCATGCCCTCTGGGGTTGACGGTCACAGTGTGAGAAAGCAAAGTAGCATAAAGGGATGACATTCAGCTGAGGGGCCTGTAGGGAGAGTGACCACATTTCTCCACTAAAACTGTGGCACACACACTGACAAATATGTTTATATGAACTGGGCCAGAATATTTTAAATTAAAATTGCTATCAAACTCTGGCATGTAAGGTCATGGGGCCCCTGGAGATCCCTACAGCTCCTAAAACCAAGGGTCCCTCTCAGGAGTGGAACCAGCTGATTTGACCTTTCCATTGCCTCTTTGAGAATCTGAATATTTTTTTTAAAGGATTCTGGGCCAACTTCCTAAGATAAGAAGCCCTTTCAAGGAAAGTGGTGGATTGTGTCTGTTAAGAGGCAAAAACAGGTGACATTTCAAGGAAAAAGGAGGTTCAAGTTTAACTCTCATGTTTTCTGGACACCAATAGGTGTGCATGATGAAAAGCCAATTATTCACGGATGCAGTTAGGGTATATTGGTTTAGCTGCTTTAACAGAGATGAAAGGAGGAGAGACTCAGACAGAGAGAAGGCTCATTTTCCTCTCACCCTGACATTTGAGCCATCCAGGGCTGTCCAAGTTGTGCCGCAGTTCTGACCCACCAAGTCAGCCAGGTCAACCCTCCTGTGCTTCCTGCGGCCTCCCCCTCATTGAGCTTGCTTCACTAACCCTAAGTCCACTTCCCAGCCCAGATGAAAGGTATGGAGGACAAGCAGCTTCCCTGAAGGACAGACCCTGGGAGTGGTACACCTCAGTTCCACAGCATCCCATTTGCTGGAACTTAGTCACATGGGCATGGGCTTCCCTGGTGGCTAAGCTGGTAACGAATCTGCCTGCAATGCAAGAGACCCCGGTTTGATCCCTGGGTGGGGAAGATCCCCTGGAGAAGAGATAAGCTACCCACTCCAGTATTCTTGGGCTTCCCTGGTGGTTCAGATGGTAAGGAATCCTCCTGCAATGTGGGAGACCTGGGTTCGATCTCTGGGTTGGGAAGATCCCCTGGAGGAGAGCATGGCAACCCAGTCAAATATTCTTGCCTGGAGAATCCCCAGGACAGAGGAACCTGGCAGGTTACAGTGCATGGGGTTGCAATGAGTCAGACACTCTAAGCACAGCACAGTCACGTGGGCATAGCTGGCTGCAGGGGGAGCTGGGAAATGTAGTCCAGTAGGTACTTCTGTACCTTCTAGGAGGAAGGGAGGGTAGATCCTGGGGAAGCATGCTCAGTAAATAGTATGTGATATCCATCCCTGAGTAAATAAAGAAAAATTGCATGTTGCTTAAGATCCGTGAATGGGATGCTATAGCTAATAATTACCATTGTGACTATTTCTTAAAATCAAAAGAATTCATTCATAGTCTTCAGCCTTGGGGCCTCTCTTTGGCACCTCCAAAGGCTCCATAGGTGAGTCCCTGGCATGGCAGACCCAGAGGGAGAGGATCTTGGTGAACTGGCTCATTGGCCACGTGTTGTCTGGTCCCCAAGACCCCCACTCAGGATGGCCAAGCCTTCAGAGGTCCTGAGCTGCACCATGACCTGGGGCAAGACGAGGAGAAGATGGAGCCCCTCCCCGATTGCATGCCCTGGACCCCAAGTGGTGCTGTTGGGACTGCAGGAGGATTCAACACGCCTCTCATCAAAACTGAGCCTTCCGTTCCCTCTCAGGGTACACCTGAGAATATTGGATTGGGTTGCCATGCTCTCCTCCAGGGGATCTTCCCAACCCAAGGATTGAACCCAGGTCTCCATTGCAGGCCGGTTCTTTACCGTCTGAAACACCAGGGAAGCCCAAGAATACTGGAGTGGGTGGCCTATCTCTTCTCTGGGAGATCTTCCTCACCCAGAGGAATGAGACATCTTCCTCTCCTCCATCCCTTTCCCCATCTCTCTCTTTCTGCAAGTATAACCCCAAACTCCTCCTGACCCCCTGCCCCATGGATAACCAAACAAAAGCCCCGAGTAACTGGCAAGATAACGCACTTAAAGGCGAGTTTGTGTTTGAGCTTCTTACATGGCCCCTCATCCCCTTTCAAGCCAGGGTTTTTAATTCTTTGCCAGAGAAGCAAGCTGGCTGACCACTGTCCCTAAACTCTTGACATCTTGTCCAGGGCTTTTCCAGTGGTCAGTCAGAGTTCCGTTAGAGTCCCCACAGGCACTCGGGTTTCCAGGGTAACTGCAGCACTGTCCTCCGCGGTCCAGGCAGACGCCTCACAATGTCAGGGAAGCGGGCCGGCTGTCAGCCGGCGGCGGGGCGCCAGTGACGATGGGGAGGGAGAGTCTGGGATGACCGCAGGAGGCCCAGGGCAGAGTTAAGCCGCTGCTAAAAACGGCAGAGGAGACAGGCTTTGCACAGCGGAAGGACTTTCGGATAAGCCTGGCCTCCTCCCCTTCCCGAGGGCCCTGGAGCTGTCTGGGAGCTGCGTCCTGGGCAGCCTGACGTTCCTCATCTGGGCATCTCACTGGGGGCTTCCTGAGGACATGGGTGGATGGACAGATGGGGGGGGGGGAGGAGGAGGGAGAGGGAGAGGGAGAGGGAGGGAGAGGAGCAGGGGGAGGGAAAGCTGGGAAAGGAGGAGCGGGGAGGAGGGGGGATGGAGGAGGAAGGAAGGAGGAGGGAGGAAGGGAGGGAGGAGGAGGAGGGAGAAAAGAGGGAGGAAGGGAAGCAGAGACGGAGGAGAGAAGAAGGAAGGGAAGCAGAGAGGGAGGAGGGAGGAGGGAGAGAGGAAAGGAGGGAGGGAGGGAAGAAGGAAGAGAAGGAGGAAGGGAGGAGGAAGGTTGTTCTGTTAGTTCAGCTCAGGGGCCCAGTTGAGTTTCTAATTCAAACTCCTCCTCATCCCAGATATTATGAGTTAAATTGAATTCTTCCTCCTCCCGCCCACTCCTTTCCGCCAAGAAAGGGGGAAGTTGAAGTTGTGACCTCCAGAACCTCAGAATGTGACCTTATTTGGAAATAGGGTCATTGTAGATGAACAATTGGAGAAACCAATCTAAAAGGCTACATACTGTATGATTTCAACTATATGACATTTAGTGAAAGGCAAAATTGTGGAGAAAATAAAAAAGATCAGCGGTTGCCTGGGGTAAGGGGAAGGGAAGTACAGAGACAGAGCAGAGATGATTTTCAGGCCAGTGAAAATACTCTGTATGATATTATAATGATGGACACTTGGCATTACACATTTGCCTAAACCTATAGAAAGGACAACACCAAGAGTCAACCTTAAAGTAAAATTACAGACTTTGAATGATCATGATGTGTCCATGTAGGTTCATCCATGGTAAAAATACACATATGCCATTTTGATGACTGATGTTGATAATGCAGGAGGCTATGCTTGTGTATGGGAAATCTCTGCACCTCCTTCTCAATTTCATTGTAAATCTAGAACTTCTCTTTAAGAAATTAACTCTTTTAAAAAATCAGAAAGTCAGTATGATGCTGATCAGAGGGGAAAGCAAGTGTTGGCCCCAGTGTTGTGAGATGCCTCTCCTAGTGGGCTGTCTCTACGTTCTTCCCCCAGTTATTCACACCACAATAACCAATGTGTGGGAGGCCCACCACTGGGCACAGATTTTTTACTAGACAGTGAAAGTAGACTTTTACTACTCTTTCACTGTAACATGGCCATTTACCCGCTTCTGCAGAAGAAAACAATTAGGTCATGATAACAAAGCAAGGTCCAGAGAAGTTAAATAGCTTGCCTGAGGTGCTTCCCTGGTGGTCCAGTGGTTACGACTCCACACACCACTGCAGGAGGCCCAAGTTCAATTCCTGGATCCCTGTTCTGGAAACTAAGATCTCACAAGCCCTGAGGCATGGCCAAAAAAATAAAAAAGTTTGCTTGAGGCCACCCAGCCAATGGCATGCTTGTATTCTGACCCCCAGTCTCTCTAATACCAAGGATTATATTTTTGCCATCAGTTCTCCTAACTGCATTTTGCCCTTGAGTTGTCAAGATTAAAATCTACAGGGGGAGAATCTATCTCTTTAGCTACTCTGGACTATTTCACAGTGGATTCCAGTAATAACATCTCCTCAAATACGGTGGCTCAAGGGGGATAAAGATTTATTTCTGTGTCATGAAATAGTCCAGACAAGGAGTGCAGGGATGCAGCTCAACTGTGTGTGGAGCCAAGACATTTCCATCCTTTGCTTTTTCATCCATAAGCAGCTTCTCCTTGAACAGATTGTCATGGATGGCTCTCCATCACCTCCACATTCCAGCCCATGAAAAAGGGGCAAAGCAGGAAGGGAGTATGGGTGTCTTTCTTTTACAGAAACACCTGAGAAGTTGCACACTCAATTTCTGCTCACATTCCAGTGACCCAGCCTGACCATACAGTTGGTCATAATTAGCTGCAAGGGAGGCTGGAAAACATCATCTTTTTAACTAGATTACTCAAGCTGACAACAAATTCCTTCTAGTCAAAGCTATGGTTTTCCAGTAGTCATGTATGGATGTGAGAGTTGGACTATAAAGAAAGCTGACCCCGGAAGAATTGATGCTTTTGAACTGTGTTGTTGGAGAAGACTCTTGAGAATCCCTTGGACTGCAAGAAGATCAAACCAGTCCATCCTAAAGGAAATTAATCCTGATTATTCATTGGAAGGGCTGATGCTGAAGCTGAAACTCCAATACTTTGGCCACCTGATGGGAAGAACCGACTCACTGGAAAAGACCCTGATGCTGGAAAGATTGAAGGCAGGAGGAGAAGGGGATGACAGAGGAGGAGATGATTGGATGGCATCACTGACTCAATGGACATGAGTTTGAGTAAGCTCCGGGAGTTGGTGACGGACAGGGAGGCCTGGCATGCTGCAGTCCATGGATTTGCAAGAGTCGGACACCACTGAGTGACTGAACTGAACTGAACTGACTCAGCCTGAAACTTCTGTTACTATGGAAGGGAATAAAGGATATTGTGGGAGACAATGGCAGTCCCTATCACAAAATTAATAGAAGAGATTTCCTTATTGCCTGGGAAGAGAGAACAACCAGGATTGAGATTCTCTGACCTGTCCCCCATCGTGTGCTCTTGGTCTTCACAGTGACTGCCCTCGTTTGGGTCTGTGAGCCTCTGGACTATTTCACTTGTTTCATAATAGGTCTTTTTAGCTCCTGTTTCTTTTTCATATAATTCCCTACATCACCAACAATATTCTAAATTGTATCCTAAAAATCAAATCTAATTGTGTCAGTTCCCTACTTAAAATCTTTTGATGGTTTCCCACTGCCTAGAGGACCAAGTGCAATCTGCTGAGCCAAGCACTGGAAACCTGGTCAACTTTTAACATTTTTTATTTTCTTTCTTTATTTATTTTCAGCTGTGCCGAGTCTTTGCCACTGTGAGGGCTTTCTCTAGCTGCGATGAGAGGAGGCTACTCTTCGTTGGCACGCACGGGCTGCTCATTGCAGTGGCTTCTCTTGTTGCAGGGCACGGGCTCTAGGCATGTGAGTTCAGTAGTTATGGCACGTGGGCGCAGCAGGTACGGCACATGGGTGCAGTACTTACGGCACATGGGCACAATACTTATGGCACATGGGTGCAGTACTTAGGGCACGTGGGCACAGTAGTTACGGCACGTGGGTACAATAGCTGTGGCTGCCGGGCTCTAGAGCACAGGGTTCAGCAGTTGCAGTGCACGGACTTAGTTGCTCCATGGCATGTGGGATTGTCCCAATCAGGGATCAAACCCATGTCTCCTGCATTGCCAGGTGGACCCTGGTCAACTCTTAGCTCTCATCTTTGGCTGCCCTCATATCTTTACCCTAAGCTGTAGGCAGATGGAGACAGTCAGTTCAGTGCAGTTCAGTCACTCAGTCGCATCTGACTCTCTGCCACCCCAGGGACTGCAGCATTCCAGGCCTCCCTGTCCATCACCAACTCCCGGAGTCCACCCAAACTCATGTCCATTGAAATGGTTGGTGATGCCATCCAGCCATCTCATACTCTGTCGTCCCCTTCTCCTCCCGCCTTCAATCTTTCTTCACATCAGGTGGCCAAAGATTGGAGCTTCAGCTTCAACATCCATCCTTCCAATGACTAATCAGGACTGATTTCCTTTAGGATGGACTGGTTGGATGGAGACAATAGTAATTCTCAAAACGCCACATGCTCCTACTTGTATTGTATGTTTCATTGACCTTGTGTATGATGCTCCTTTTGCCTAGAAGCCTATCTCTGCTCTGTCCTTTAGGTCAACTCAGTCTTCAAGGACTGAGGCTCAAGATGTCGCTTCAATGTTTTCCTCTTCTTTGAGCCCCCCAGGTAGGGTTGGTCACCCAGAAGTTGGTGAGAAGTTGGGGGGCCTTGGAGGCAGACACCCTGGATGCAGAACCCACCTCTGCCACTTATTAGCCAGGTGAACCTGAACAATTTCTTAAACCTCATTTTTCTAAACTTTAGGGTACAGCTAATCATACCTACCTCATGTCATTATTATGAAAATTAAATAAGATTTGCATATATGATTCCTGACCCATCAAAGGTGTTCAACTCATGGAACTGTTATTAAAATTATTACTCTGAGTGAGTTGGAATAAAGCTAAGCTACTGTAACAGAAATACCCTAATAAAACATGTGGGGAAATGGAATGATCTTTCTCTTGAGATGGGTTTGGGTTATATTGGTGAATATTTGTCAAAATGCAACTGTTACACACTTAAGGTCTGTGTACTTCATTGTATATAAAATTGTCATCAAGAGGAAAACAAGTATTGGAGTCTAGGTAATAATATGCATGCCAATGTACTAAGGAAAATATACAGATGTCTGCAATATACTTTGAATTGTGTCCAAAAAGTGAGAAAGTCTGACGGATGGATAGTGGGGTGAAAAGATGGATAGGCTTATAATTCTTTTTATTGTAGTAAAATGTTAATGGTAGATACAAGCTGTGGGCATATGGGTGTCCATTGTATAATTTTTTAAACTTTGCTATATGTTTAATATTTTTCATAATAAAAATAAATAAAAAGACCCCATCATAAAGTGGTTTTAAAATTATAGTTGTTTTTCTCCCCCTCAGTAACAGTGCCAAAGCGAGTATGCCAGGTTTGTGGGCAGTTCTCTTCCATCTGCTCACTCAGGGGTGCCAGGCTTGTGGGCTGGGACTCAATTTTTTCCAAGTTGTCAAGTCATTGCTCCATTATCCTCCAGACTCAAGGACATCATCCTCATCTGTGGCCAAAGCTGAATCACTCTGTCCCATTCCAAGAGAGAGAAAGACTAGAGGGGGCACACCCATCTCTTAAAGCCTGCGCCTGGCTGCGGACAGCATGACTTTTGTCTACACTCCATTGTGAGAACCAAGTCACATGACCGTATGCCATGGCACAGGAGGCTGGGAAATAGCTAGCTCTATCGGCTGGGAAGAAGGAGAGTGTCCTCCATCCTGTGTTCTCGGAACACACCAGACAGCCGTTCATCACACTGTAGTCGTTTGGATCCTGCAAACTCCTTGCTGG